TTTCGGCCGCTGTTTAATGGTAATTGTACCGTTGTTAATCAAAAACTTTTAAATAAGAATAGCAGTTGTTAGTTGCCTGCAGACAACCAAACCAGTTTGCCTAAAAATTCGTTATTTTTTTGGTGAATTACTTTACGAAAGCTTTTCATAACTCCCAAATAATGATCTTTGTTGTCTGTCTAATTTACTGGCAAAAATCCATGAAGCACAACACCATTGGAGCACGAAAATCTTAAGTATGGTCTTCTTTTTCAACTTAAAACGACATGGTTATTTAGATCATGCCTTGTTTTAGTGAACGCCATTTACTCTCCTAATGTCTTAATGGCAATATATCTAATAGCTTTTTTTTCTAAGATGGTGTTTAAGTCCAGAAGTGACTAGAGAAGTATAGATACATGTTTAACAAAATTGAAGTTGGTCTGAGTCCAATTGTTATATTTTAAGATGATATATGAATTTACAACATGACATCAAGAAACTTATAAAGATGCCTTCTTTTGAACTAAAGAATTCTGTCCAAATTCGTAGAATCAAAGTTAAACTAGTAGTTCGGTTGCCCTGAAACTTGTTATTTTTGACCAATATTCTGTAAGCGTATTCAGACATATAACATTTTTAATCAGTGGTTATACACAGTGAACCCAAATATCTATAAAAAATAATAACAATTAAGTATATTATTTATAAAGTTTAGTATCTTAAAGCAAGTGGCTGAAACATTACTATGTTTTTACTAAACATTCAATAAAATAGTCAAATTACAAAGAAAGTCTTATTATTTTGTGTTTTATTTAACTTGAAAATGTGTCCTTTTTTTACAGAGTTGTGGGCGTAACTGAAGTACTTTGTATGTCTGTGATAAATTGTAAATAATTCTTGAATTGATTACTTGCTTTACTTTTCATCTAAACTGTGGGTGGATTTAGTTTTTTACTCTTAAGATTTAGACGTCTCTGGTGTGGTCACACAAATCATAAGTCAAATCAGACAATTTTAACTAAAAAAATTTTCTTTCTAAAATATTTTTTAACAAGGATTGGTGTGTGGAGTTATGATATTGAATGGTATTCTTCATGAAATTCTAAAGTAGATTTGATGATGTGATAAAAATTGAAAAATGATTTTATTAGTTTGAATATTATATGCTCATTTTTTGCAATTTTTGCAAGTTTTTTTTCTAAAGTGAATGTTTTAGATATTTTTTCTCCATAATCTCAACTGTGAATAATGAAAATTGTATGCATAAACGATAAGAAAACAGTTGAATTTATTTTCTTTGGAAACATTATTAATACGAAAAGCCTTTGTAAATGTAGAAAAATCATATTTAAAAAAGATGAACAAAAAATCAAATAAAAAAGTGATCAAATGATAATATTACCAAACTCAATCCATATATAATTTTTGTAAACCATAATCCATATTTAATTTTGAAGCTTATTTACTCTAAGTACATTTAGCATAACGCATTTTCAAGTAAACTGCAAAAATTAATAGCATTAAAATAATGAAAACACTGAATATGTTCTTTATATGTTTAACTATAATTTTTGATATCCTCTTCCACCATTTTAATAAGACTAATTTTTGTCGTTTAATAAATTAATGTATATACCAAAAATGATAAAACAATTTTTTTTCCTTTTTATGAAAATATTAACAAATGAATTCCCAACTTTACAGAGTTTTATTGCCTCTTCAATACACTCCCAGGAGTCTATTCCGTATATACATAAGTGCAGGACATTCTAATAACACATGTGTAGCTAACTCTACATTCTCTTCACAAAATATATAGTTTGCATTCGTATATGTCCCCAGTCTTGTAAAGTGTTTAGATTACAGTGCCTTGTTAAGATTCCTGTGATGATTCCAAGTTTTTCTTCTTTTTCTTTAAACTTAGCTGTCTCAATTAGTGTATACGATCTCTATCTCCCAATGGAAAACCATGGTTGTTCTAATAATTTTTTGCTACAATCATGGGGATTATTAAACTATATGATAACTATCGCTTAAGATATGAAATTTTAACTAAATATTTAAATATTGATAATTTTTTATAATTAAGAAACTTTTAGAAATTATTCTTTTTAATATGTTTTTATATATTGTAAAATTTCTTCTATAATCAAAAATAACTTGCAATTCTTAATTATGTTATTAAAAATGTATATATAATATGTATTTTATTAAATGTAAAAATAATAATAAATGTTCTCAGTGCAGTTAACAAATAAAAAATTGAAGCAACCAGGAGAGGGACTTACATACGAGCTGGTTTAAATTTCAATTTTCATTTAGTTTACTGATTATCATTAAAAATGGCTGTAACCTCACATTGGATTCAATTCGTTGTTTGTATTTAATTTTAATTAATTTATTATTACATGTACTCTCATATCAATGTGAAATCATATGTGGCTTTTTAATCTCTTCAATATTAATCTGATAATATTGAAGTTGGTTAAATACAATCACAAACACATGAAGTTTCGTTAAGCATCCTCGGATGTGGAACTTGTAAATTTTAATTGGCATATTTATTATTGACTGAAACATGCAATTCAAGATTAAAAATTTTACTTTTCAATATATTTTTTAAAAATTCTTACTTGATATTGTATCAATGAAAAAATTTATTAAAAATTCAGTTAAGTTGATTTAATGAGAGATTTTTTACTCTTAAATGTTTTAATTAAAGAACATAAAATTTGTTAATAAAATATATTTAATTTCCAGTCTCACTTGTATAAATCGTAGCATGACTCTTTTCATATTAGGTTCCGACACAATGTTCTACGAGTATTCACAACAAAGAGTAATATAAAATCATGGATTGAATAATGCGTCTACAAATTTGTGTTAAATATCAAGACTTAATAGTTTTAAATAGCTATAATTAATTAACTTAATTAATCTACAGCTGGCTTGTTTATTGTTTTACAGCTTAGGTTTAAGAGTCTCAAATTGATCCGCAACATCAAAACCGGAAATTTAGTTCGTGCTACTATCATACGTAGATATGACAACGGATTTACGTATGATCAGTTTTTTCAACTACGCTATATGCCTGCGTAGATGCCTACCTTATTTATCTGAAACTTAATGTCATCCTAGTTATCCTTCTTTAAGCGGAGTCTTAAAGAAGGATAACATTCAAAAACTCTACTTTCACTTAAATTTTAACAACTTTAACTCATCACATCCGATTTAACTGAGTTTTTATTTCTATAAGTTACTTTTTTAAAATATATTCTAGCAAAATTAAAAGTGATTTCGTCAACTTTTGTAAGCATCCGTTCCGTTTAAAAAGTAAGTAAGAATAGGAATAGAAATAAACAGGGTACCAGCTCCCAACGGAGCAGAGCACTGCGACCATGGTTGATCTTTTGTGCTGCAACAGATCAAAACCGAAGAGTAGATATTCCGCCTTCCGAATGAAAGCCAGAATGTCGGCCGTTATTATGCGCGTATGCATTTCCCCATGTACCCTCTTCTCATTGGTTTACTCTTATGATAAGGAATTTTACAATTTAATTTTTTTTATTTTCAGTCAGATAAGGTTAACTTTAAAAGAATTTATTTAATATATGTATACACAATATGTCATTCTTCCAAGCTTCTTTAAACTTTCGCTATTGTTAACTAAAAAATGTTAACCAGACCAATATCGAATATTCTATACTGGATAAAAAAATATAGATTTTGTTGGTCTAAAAATTTATCATTTATAAACAACTGTGGCTTTTTTAAAATTGTTTTTTATAGATTATTTTAAAATAATACTTTTAATATTTTTTTAACCTTAAGCCAAAATATACAACAAACATGCAATTGTTTCTGAAGTTAAATTAAACAAAAGTTTCTTTTGATATAAAAAAAACTTCCACAAAGGTAAATTACACTTAAATGCTTTTAATCTCCATTGACTCCAAAAGAATTCAATCTCTATTCCGTCCAACACTTCATAACAAAAACTTCAAATAAAAACAACTCAAGTGAAGCAACAAACTTACGGTCTAGCAAAAGACCCTCAAGGCGTATGATCAACTTTGTGTAAAAGAAAACAAATTATAACGAATAACAACGAATCCTTTGAATATCCTTTGAATAAAAATGTAAAATATTAAAATCATAAAAATATATATCATAAATATTTGTTATAAATAAAATAATTTATTTCATTATTAGTTATAACAAAGAAATATATTTAATTAATCGAGACATGAAATCAATCAAATCAATTTACCGAAAATGCCACAAAATTACAATCTCACCGCCTAGTAAAGTTGGTTTGTGTAAAATAGTTTGGTTTTGTTCAACTGAAATAGCAAATTGGCAAAAGTACATATTTACATATTATATAGCGTTTGTTTATGTACACGTAACTGCATCCGAGTGGAATACACTTTCCATCATTTACTAATAAATGCACTTTATTTGTGCAGATACTGCATGTATGCCAGTTTATTAATAAAATACAAATGTGCATATCTAAAAGGATATGAAGACGTTATATCCTGTGTGTTTGCGTTGGGATGTGCAAATAACATTTACATAAAAGCAACACATTATTGACATCAGTTGCCAATTGCAAGCAATAACGTCAAGGACTCATACTGTTAACGATGCTATGCGAGTCCTTATAATGAAATATTTGTTAATTTGGGCGACACTAATCGAGGGCGGTTTATTAAATTCCAGATTTTCATTTGTTTATTTGTTTAACCGCATTTGCAAATCATTAAGCACACAAGACGTTAATGATAGTCTCGGCGCTTTCCGGGTCTTGCATACAACATAAATCAACCTCAAATTGCTTATGTGGTTGTAAATAATTTAATTGTGCACAATTTAGTTCTACTGCAATTGCACTTAATTTTACAATTAAGTTGATTATATACATATATATACATATATATATATAAATGAATACAATGAAATATTTGATTTCTTCTGATATGGCAGTAACTTTAATAATAAAATTTGGTGCAGAATTACAGTAATTTATTGTTAGCGTCATTAGGTTTCGGGACACCACATTTCGGTTCACCTTTTAATTTATTAAATGCAATTAACACTGTTAGACCTTTTACTTGTTCTTCTTCACTCTCTACGTCTTCTCTATTATTTATGAAAATAGCCTGCTAATCCAACTTTGTTATATATTACTAGATATTAAAACATTTATAAGAAATAAAAGTCATTAATTAAGGGTAATTGTATTGAGTTGGTATAAGCACAACATTATTTAGAAAACACTATTAATAAAAAGCAATTACGTTTTCTTTTTTAAATCCATATTTAAAGTGATTAAAAAAGGTTGTCCAATTTGTGGTTAAAATATGGAAGCAGTCAAACAAAACTGTCATCCATGGCATCATTTAGTTAAGACTTGACAATACCCCATATTTATCGTTTAACAACTACCAAACATATTAAGATCGTAAAAACTTACACTACCCTACTTCTACAGTATGTCGTCTTCTTCAAATATGCCACATTCTAAATTAAATTTTTTAAATTTTAATAAACAATTTACATGTTACTTATCTAATATTTAGCTAAATTATTTTATATTAAATTTGAATTAGACGTGGCTCACTGCATATGAGGAAGATGTGCTATATGGGCTGCTCAAAAGTGACTTTTATCTTTGTTTTTGTTTTTGTCTGAGGCGGAGTAGGGATTCATGTTTCACCTTCGTAGTTAATACCGAATAAAAGAAAACAAAGCTTTGGTAACCATTTTCTTATCAACTTTACAAAAGTGTTTAATTAGGTATTTCGGCAATTTTTAAGACTTTTCAGGTTAATTTACTTTTACTTGAATGGTAGAGTTATACCATTTGGAGTTACTTGCACGCTGAATACGATGGTTATTGCGAAAATCCTTCTGGTCTGCCTATGAACAACGCTAATCCATTATATCATAATGTATCATTACTCAAGCTCAAATGAGTTTTTGTGTTGATTTCATTAGTATACTCACCTTTCTCGCTAAACTTGTTCAAAACGCCAACCATCCACATCTCATCTTGTAATCCTTACATATTATTTGATTTTCGGATCCCGGCGGGCTACAACAACAAAAACAACAAGGCACTAAGCGTTTTAACTAGATCTACCAAAAAAGTAACAACTGGCCGCCATAGTTAACCATAATTTTGTATTTTAAGAAGTCTAGTATATTTCTTATCAATTAAAACCATCTACTATTAATAGTGAAGATATTAAATATAAAAATTTTTACTAAAATTTATATTATGATTGAAACCGTAATGCCGCGAACAGGATTCTATTAAAACCAACTAGAGTAACCAAAAAAGTAACAGTTAATCGCATTATTAGGAGCTTTTGAATTCTGAACAGTCTAAGGTAACATATTTATCGTCCATTAAAACTATCCACCAACATTTGTAAATTTATATATAAAAATCGTTACTAGGTTTAATTCTGTGATTGTAGCCGTAATCACAGATTTATTATACAAAATGTGATAAAAGCATTTTAGACTTAAATTTTGGAAATTTTGTTTGATTGCCAAAAGAGCCGAAAAAAGGAGCGCAAAAATCAATTTGTTGCAGCAGAAAATGACAATAATATGTAAAGCCCATAAATTAACAATAGTATCTGTCAAAACTTTGTATGGAATTGTCAGTATCAGAACAGACTCTGGCAACTTTACTACGTTTTCCTATTACTCATTACAAATCACGGTCGTTTCAAAAACACATCCCAGCAAAAATGCCGATACAATGCAAATGTAACTGCGTTTCATGTATTGAATTCGGCTGAGGCGTATTTGTACAGCGGTTGTATGAGTGTATGAGTGCATGCCATTTTAAATAATTTCCTACAAATTTCCCAAAGCGCTTTTCGCTTATCAGTTGCCATATAAATTTGTGTGAGGGAAGTGCGATTGTGTGTGTTTGTGTGATTGCGAATTTTGACAAATGGTTTTTATGATTTGACATGAATATTCAATGAGCAGGCTTTACGCTTCTCCTGCTTACTGTTGTTGTTGTTGCTATACTGGTATTGTTGTTGTTATTTTTGTCGTTTTCGTTATTGTTATTGTTGTTGTTGTTGTTGAATCATTTGGCCACAGTGAAAACTTTTCTGAAATTGATTTGTTGCCTGTCGTCGTTATTATGATTATTTATTTACATTTTTTTTTCTGTATGTGCTTCTGGAATATCTGTGTATCTCGTATTGGAAATTGAATTTCAAGTCCCAAATCGTACGTCAAATAAAGTCCAAAACTTGTTTGCGCCATTATTTAATGTAAATTTATATTTTCAATAAATCACATAAGCAAAATTTATGCCAATTTCCGTTGTTAGTTTTTTTTAACATTTTATTAATTTGTGTTGTTATACAGAATTTTAGTTTTTTTTTATCCAAAAATAATATATCAATTTATTGAGAAATTTCCGTTCTACCAATTTATGATTGATACAATTTTGGGTTGTTTTACTCTTCCTCTCACCAATTGCTTCGAACGTACGGCATTTGTAAAATTTGCTTCAAGGCAGGAAGTCAAGGGTCGTCGGTAGCGTTCATGGTTAACATTAGCGCTTTGGCTTTTAGGTTTCCTTTCAAGGTCAATCTGCACTACACGATCAACTCTCATACTACTGGGTCTTTTTAGTAAATATTCATCTATATGTGCATTGGAACCACTGCTAAGATTTAGATTAACTAAATGTTCTTGCAATTTTGCTTTCAATTGTGCATTTTCATCTTCCAATTGTTTTTTCTCCTTTTTAAGGTAGGCATTGTCGATTATGACATTATTAACCCGTCGCCAAAATTTCTCCATCAAATGCCATCTACCTAATTTTTTCTGTAAAATATTACACTTTTTAATTATGAAATGGAAAAATGTATGTAGAAATAAGTTACATCTTTTAACATATCTGGAGCTTGTGCAAGTTCCTCCTCTGTATTCACAAACATCTCCCGAGATATTGGTGGAAGTCCAAAGGGTGCTAGTATCTCTTTTTCCTTTTCATAGTTACGGCATATGGCAGCCATTTGCATAAGTCGCTCTCCTTGAGCAGCAATTTTTTCTATATGCTGTTGAAGTTATATATATATAATATAAATATATGCATATAATTAATCACGAAACTTATCAAACTTATTATAAAATTTATTATTAACTGATTAAGAGAAACATTAACTTAAAACTATAATAAAATTTTTTCGGTACAACATCAGAATGATACACTACAAAACTTACAGTATGTAGTCCAAGTAAGTAGTGAATAAGTCCATAGAGAGTTATATAGTATAAAATCCTACTATATTATTAATACATAATACGCATCTGCTGTTTCTAGTTATGTTGAAAGATCAACATTCTAATTTTATAAAGAATGAAGTATGCAAAATATTCCAAAATAATTAAAATACGCTTTACTACTATTTTAAATACTATAATTTGTTGCCAGTTCATTGAGAGATTTAGAAAAGACGTACAGTCTACTTAACTTATACATTATTTCGATTTTATGTACTTACCTTTAATGCAATATGACTAGTTACGCTCATCAGTTTAAATTTCTTATTTCCGTCTTCGATTTCTTTATTAGCAGTTTGTTTCAAATTAGCCAAACGTTCACATAAATCGCTTCTTAACTTTGTCAAATACTTCATTTTGACGTCATTCTTATCAGTTAAATCAGAGTACTTAAGTTTTAGACGACTTAAATGTTCAGTAGCTTTTTCCATTTCATAGCATTGTGTTCTGATAAGCGTAGTACTCTCTTCATCTCGTTCTTTAAGATCCACATATTCCGCATAAAAGCCCTCATTGCGCCGCATATAAGCAGACAAAACATCTTGATATTCTTGCCAGAGGTTTTCAAGCTTCAATTCTCCAACTTTCGTGATATTTTCCAAGCGTAAAGTAATCTATCATAAAAAATTATTATTATGACAATAATAAAATAAGAAAATAAAGCTATCAGATTCATGGAAAATATAATTTTTATATTATAATTGCATTTAATCAAAAAACTGCATTACATGACGTATGAGTGACAAGTGAGTTTTTAAACAATTTTCTGATTGCAACGATTTGTTGCATTTTATTACCTTTTAATGAAAAGTTTTCAAGTGATTTGCTATAAATAATTTGAAAAATATTTTTGAAAATTCAGTTTGAAGTGGATTTCCCAGTTACGATGATACGCTTTTTACGCGCTTATTCGATTCGTAATTTAATATTAATTACTTTAATTTCAATACACATTACAGCAGGACTAAAATGCCGTACGGATGATGGTATTAATGAAGCTGAACTCAAGCGAGTTACCCGGAAGTGTATGAAAAAAATGAGCGAAAACTTTCATGCTGGTCATTTGGGTATTCCAACTCGTAATCAAAATTTCGAACAAAGAAAAGAAGCAAATTACGATGATTACGATTACTTGGAAAATAGTAACAACAACCAGAATAGAAACAACTATAATTATGCCAAAAATACAGAACACTCTGCGTATGATGAAATACTACGACCTCGCAGCCGAAACAGTTTCAGTGGTCAGAATGGTAGGAATGAACAGCACAATACCGATAACAGAAACCCGAATATACGCAATCCAAACTCTGGCAATAGTAATAACAGTCAAAGGCTTGGGGGAGGAAGTCATGATAACAATAATTACGGCAATTTCAACAATGGCAATTATAAAAACAACTCCAAGGATGATGTTAAATGTGTCGTACATTGTTTCTTTGATGAAATGAATATGGCAAGTAAAAGCTTAATGTGTCCTCTGCACTTTAATATTTTACACTTGATTTTTTTTAAACAAACTTCCAACTTCATTTTAGCTCAACAACAATAATTATCCGGACAAGCAGAAAGTTATGTTCATGTTGACGAAAAACATGAGAGAACGGGATTTGCGTAATTTCTACACGGAAAGTATACAAATGTGCTTCCTCTACTTGGAAAACCGAAACAGGCTGGACAAATGTGAGTTCTCACATGAGCTTGTAAATTGTCTAGCCGAATATGGTAAAGCGAACTGTGATGACTGGAATGATAGCAGTTTAATATTTAATTAATTCACTCCGTGGCAACTATTTTAATCAGCAATTTTGTTAAAAGGTCCAATAAAATATTCAACCGCTTTAAAAAGTGGAAAGGAAAAAAGTGTTTGAATTATCATATAATGTCTTAAATGTAATAAATATTAACACGTACTGTACTTTTCACATCATCCACACGTTTTTGTTGTTCTTCCTGTGACTCTTCCTTTTCTTTGTCGGTATGCGATTTCAATTGGTAATATATGCTTTCTAATTGTTGGAGCGAACGGTCACCACTTTTCTTAAACTGGACCACATCTTCCTTATATTGATCCAAAACAGTTGTTTGCTGATGCATATACTGGTTTCGAAAGAAATCGGTCCGTTCTTGTTGTCTTCCTATATTCGAGACGAATTTTAAAAAAATAATTAATCCATTGTTTTAATGACCAGGATTTTAATTAATTAATTTGTTTTTGAAACGGACTAATTGGTCAGTTGTTAAATAATACTTTTTTTTTTAAATTAGTTTTTAAATAATTTTTTATTTACACCAATATTGTGACTATATTCTGTAGTAATTTTCAGGGACTCAGGGCGTAAATAAAAATTTTTTTAAAAAAGTGTTTTAACAATTGACCAATTAACCCATTTCAAACCCATTCAAAAATTAACCCTTTTAGCTCATATTCGAAACAACTGTATGGTCAGCCAAAAATTTAATCAATAAAAATAATATAAAAAGAATTTTTTTTGTTTTATTTCACTACTTTTCGAAATCTCTCTACCAAAAACAGAAATAATCATAAAAAATAATTAAAATTATTATGAATTCAACATATTATATGATATATGTTTTATAAATATTTAAAAATTATTTTAATATAAACTACAAAGTTAACAACAAATTATAAAGGTTCGCCATAATAAATGAATACGTCTTTTCCAATTCCAATATAGGCTAGATTTTATTAATATAAATAATACTGTAATTAAATAAATCATTCTTTTAGTGTAATGTGCAAAACAATGATGTCTTTGTTAGGGACGTTTAACATCAAAATTATGAAAGGTGCAACATCTTGAAAACATATCAGGTCTAGATTTATAAAAGAGTTTCTCAATTTCAGCTATAGTAAATGAATGTTTCTAGTAGCCTATATACCATATAAGTGTAATGTTTGTATACAATTATAGAAAGGATTTATATTGTTTAACTGACTTTATACATATTATTAAACAAAATTTTATAAAAATACTTTTACTTTCAGTTATTATTATAACAACCATCATCTCAACTGTTTTTCATTGAATCCAACCGTTTACTTATGTACCACCCACTCTATATGAAGAGTGCCTTGTCTCTGCTAATGCATTGTGTTTCCCTTATAATGTATTTTACTTTTGTTTTGATTTTGATATATAAATATTACCTACATTCTATATATAAATATATCAGCCATTTTGAATAGGATCCAATCGTTTACTGACGATTATCTTATTCATGGTTAATTTGAAAGAGCGTCTTTTAGAATACTGAATCCTTATGATACTTAATATTGTAGCTATAATATTTTAACTCTGGCAGGTATCTAACGATTTTTCTGGTAATTTATATGTGCTTTACAGTTATATGCACGCTAAATAGTCGCTGATTACTGCAAAATAGTAACTCTATGGTTAGTTGTTTATATTGGCATGTCAGCAGATAAGTTTCCATTGACCTCAATCAACAACTTTTCGGCGTTTTAATATCACCTTTCTCACAAGAAGCTCAAAATTAGAAAAATATTAACTAAATCTATTTCATTTAATTTAGATAATTTAATAGATCTTTCATCTCTACCGATAAACAATTTTTCAGACCATCAAAAAAGTATTTTCCTAAAACCATATATCTTCTGAAAGCCAATGCTGTGCATTCACTGAGAAAATCTTTAATAATTTCTTTTTCGTACAGGTTTTCTCTAAGTAGTGAAGATTTTTTTTCCATTAGTTAGATAATCGTAAGTGCATCTGTTCTATTACAGGATGGTTCACAGCTATTTTTTTAGATGTTGGCTTAAATAAGCAATAATGTGCGAATAAGAAAGGACATTAAGACAAAAAGAACACATTATTGCTTATTTAAATAACTACGGAATTAATTGCATCCATTTCCAAGATGAAAAGTTGAAAACACGTCTGAACAGGTATATCAGTCAGCAGCAATGCTTAACTCACTGTTTGCATTTGCAAAAATGTCTATATATAGTTTTTCTCTCACGTTACTAATGATTAATAGATCTGTAGTATATTTCTACTAGTATTCTACCAGATCTACTAACCATTATGCTTTGACAGAAAAATAATGCTAATCCTGTAATACACATCTTAATAAGCTGTGGTAATTAATAATGAATTCAATTAACTACTGACAAACCTAATATAATCAAACATTACCATTCTTTTTAACCTATAATGGGACTCTACAAATTTAAATAAAAACACTGGACGTAAATTGAGAACCTTGAGATACATGATATCTTTTTAAATAAGAAATTGCATAAGAAATTGCATAAAATGAGAAATAAAATCTTTTTCTTTAGGAAGTGTACTTCACAAATTTGAGATTAAAGTTTTAAATAGAACTTGGTGATACCCCATAATATTTCATTTAATACAGTTTTTATAAAGACCATACCAAAATGGTTCAGTTTTTATTTCTGTATATAGCGATACCAACATATATAGTTTTCTATCAAATCGTTACTGTCCTTTAAGACAACGATCGATCCCTTTTTATTTTAAATTAAAATATTATTTTATTTGCATAGACAAAATACTTCACAAATTGAATGTAATATCTATCTATAAAACATGGATCGGTTAAATAAATAAACAGAGCACTAACCTATAAAAGAGTTGATGGTTTCCATATGGGATTGTTGCATTGTACCATACATGTCTTCTGCCAAATCTAACTCATCGAATAACCGATTAATTGTTTGATTTTTTCTTTCAAGCGCCTCTTCGAAAAACTTTTCCACTTCCATAATTTCATTTCGCAGCTCATCACATTTTATTTGTCGCAGTAAGGACCGCCACTCCTGATTAATCTTTGCCAAATTTAAACGACAAAATGCATCCTCACGTTTTAATTTATTCTAAAATCAATAAATCTTCTGTTAATTAAAAATTATATTATATACATATATATAATATATACTTTCATAAAAAGTGATAGCAATTGCATTTTACGACGTCTTGCTTCCTCTTCAATGTCAGCACGCAATTGCAAATACCTCGCCCGTTCTTCTTCAGACATTTTAGCCAATTTATTGGCTTTACCTTTCTTACCCATTTTTATTGCTAATACTAATTACTTTTTTTATTAAATTTAAACAAATTGAGTTTTTATTTAAAGTTAGTAACACCTCTTTAATTTATTTAGACTGGTTATTATGAGTCCATCACTTCTTATTTGTTACTTAATTTATAGCAATATTTCACTTTAACTCAACTTTTCCAAAACAAACACTTTACTTAATTCTTAAATAACGTCTTTAATAAATTTAATTAATATTTTTTATTTAAAATAATTTAAATATATAAACAATATTAAATCAATTCCTTCCAATTCAAGTAAACACAGTATTTTGATATTTGCATTGTGCCAATAAGGAAGTTTGTTTATATTTCCAAACAATTAAAATAATCTCCTTGACTTCACAAATGTCTGATAAATATTTATTCGCAACAGAAAAATATTTATTTGAAAACAATTTATTTTTTTTATATAATATTTTATAATATTTATTATACAAAATTCATATATTTTACTAAACCTAAAAATTTTTTAAAATAAATCGATTTTTTTATTTGATAACGAGAAAATGAATAACTCCAATAAAAAAGGGTTTAAATAAATCACCATAAAAAAAAAAACTAGAAGAAATTTTTTTAGAAGTATCTCCAGATTGAAGATTAGTAGAAAATTATTTATTGATAAATATTAGTAAGAGTTTGTCTACAATAAGGACTTAAAATAAGGACTTTTTATCAAAGTTTTTGAATATCCCAAAAACTGTTCATATTATTATAAAATATTTTAAAATATTCATTTGTGTATAATATTTGTATAATATTTGTATTATATATTTGTGAAAAAATTATTTAAATATAAAAAGAAATTCAGAAGACTTGTGAGTTCAGGGAATATTGTACTTTTCAGTTGTTATTGAATAATCCTGGTGATCAACCATATATAATACAGCTAAGAACTTTTCTGTAAATTATTGAAGTATTACCTCAGAAACTTTGTTTGTTCTCAGAAACTTTGCTATTCTATATTTAAAATCATGTCTCCTTATTTTATTTCATTATAAATATTATTTTCATTCAAATTATATTCTAAAATTAATAGACATTTTAATTTATTAGTTTTATATATATATCTATATATATATTCTTCATAAGAACTAAAAATTTTCTCTCTTATATGCCCCAATCAAAAAGAAGTTAATGTTTAAAAATCTCAAAAATCAAAAAGTTTGTCACCAAAAGAGTACTTTTTTGTCTAAATCATTTTTTTTTTTATTAAGTCGATCTAAAAATAATATATCATAGAAAAACAACCATTTATTTAGCTTAATTTCTTTATAAAGAAACTTCAAATGTTAACATGTGTTATACAATAAAATAGCTTTGCAGGTAAAATAACTTCTAACATGGCCACTCTACCACATCCGCTATGGAAGTCATCATCATATATTATGGCACCCAGCAAATCAAATCAACTAAATTACCTTAAATTGTTATTGCTTTTTTCATGTGTCCTCTAACTGTCTATCTGTCTGTCTGTCTCTATATGTTGTGATTGTGGGTGCCATTTTCTTCATAAAAATCACTTTTTTTCATCACACTAAACAAAAAAAATAAAAAAAATATTCGCAGTAAGCAACCCCGAAATGATGAACCGGCTACATAACAGATTATCGAAACTACGTAGAGTTAACTATGAATCAAAGTTATATCTTTTAACCAAAATGTAATTAGTACTTTCAATTGAAAATTTAATTTATTTTTAAATAGGTTTAATTAGATTTGAATGGCACTTATTTGTAGTATATTGGCTCTGGCTGGGTCACTTTTATGTTCCAGATTTTTATATACCCAGAGTATAAAGGTAACTTTATAACTTTAAAGGTAACTTCATACTCTAACATTGAAGATGATTTCGATTTGAGATTTGAGCGTTCATTTCTGTGGATATTTGTAATTTTCTTGGTAGTAATTTTGATTTTTAAAAAGTAAAATTTTAATTGTTGTAAATTATTCATCTATAAAACAAATGTGACGCCTTATATATAGTACATAAACGTAATCTTATTTGTATTAAATATTTTTTTATTTTTAATTTGAATTTATTAGCATAATATAAAAAAATATTGGGATATGAAAATATTCCTATCTTATTTTATGCTATAATAAGATAATGTTCTAACTTAGGTATATGATCTATATACGGCTTCGCATATCTATGCAACATACCTATTTACTATAAATGTTGCTAAAACCACAAATTCTTATAATACTCCACATTTACCAATCGCAGTGTAATGCTGATCTGTTAATGTAATGACCTCAATAATAACTGAATAATCACTGCTATGTTGCATTAATACATTACACTGAAATGTTGTGATTTCACCTTGTTAGATTCACCTGCTTTTGATCATGATCGTTTGTTTTAAATAACATTGCATTTAATCACTTTTTATCGTCTATAATGATTCACTTCAAAAACTATTCCATTTTTTTGGGTTTCAGTAGCGTTTCACTAATGTGAATTCAGTCAATCAAATCAATCTTTGCATTAAGTCACACCATAATGGTCCAACCACGGAAACCTTACTTATTGCAAAATATCTGATACTGATGTAAATCATGCCAATATTTTTTGAAATTGTTTGGGCGGTCTATATTAAATTTTTTCGCCAGTAAAGACGACATTCTGACACTATTTGGCGCAGAATGGGTATGTATTTACAAATTCTAAACGGGCCTTGATATGCCTCTCCAAAAGGTTTAGTTTAGGTACCATTGTGCTAAGTTTAAGGAAGTAATTTTCATGAATAATTTGAAACATTATACTCCCTGTTATTTGAAGTCCCATTTGAGCCCTTATTTTTCCGCTGTTCATCCAAGTTTTCACTGCCAGACGTCATATTCGGCGCTTGCACCGATTATCGATTTTGGTCTTCTGGCCACTGCGTGGAACTGTATTATATTTTGCCGGGCTTTTCAGAAACCTGGAAACACAGTTCCTATGCCGGTTGAGTCTAGTCATTATTTTGGCATTCTCCTGATTATTCCCTATTCGTAATCAGACAAACTAGTACCACGCGGTATTATAGCCTAACAAGATTAAATATTATATTACAATTTAGCATAATTTTTATAAATAGTACACTTACAATACAGGTGCAAACAAATTTCTACAAATAAATCGTTCTCCGTGACACAATATTCAAAAAAATTCAGCTAGAAGTATTTTGCACATATAATTATTTACTATGTAATGCCCAATGAACGTCAAATTTTTAAACTAACGGTACAACGAAGAGCATTATAATGACAAAATTTTTGTTGTATAGCAAGCACAACATTCCATGTAATAATTTTGCACTTTCCAAAATTCGAAAAAAGTATATAAAATATTAAAAAAACACAAATACAATAATGCACATATATTTATTTGGCAGACAGTTCTTCTACCATTCCAAGTAAATTATCAATGCCGTTTGTAGGGTATTAGTTAAAATCGACTTTAATAATTTTTACATATGATTGCTATTTACACATTTTGCATTTGCTTTTATAAATCTTTTTTGTTTCAGTGAATTTTTCGTAAAACATCCACTTTGCTCACTACTCATTCATCTCTGTCGTTTCTAAACTATTCCACGCCACTCAATTGACACCCTCCAACCGAAGCGAAATTTCAAGCTCGTCAGTATCTTTTACCGTAAATGTCAGGACTTGAGCATAAAATCAAAATAAGAAAAAACAATAAAAAGCCAAATAGAAAATCACATTCAATTTGATACATCATTGCGGAACAAGGAGGCCAAAACAACCACAACAACAACAACTAACAACAACAAAAGGACCCACAGTAAGACTTACGCTCCTTCCGAAGTGTTGCATTGAAAAATGACAACAATCTTGACAGCAAAACGTTTGACAACAGCTACAGGCAATCCTGTAGCGTGCAACGTCTTCTACTTTGAAGTCCTGGCTACGACAATAACAACAACAACAACAAAACAAAATAGAAACCGAAAATAGAAAGAAATAAATGAATATGAAGACACAAATTTAGCAACAAAATATAAACAAAAGAAAATGACTACAAAAAAAAAATACGTTACGTACGTAACGTAACGTAACGCAACGCAAATTTGATTTCGCACTTCTATTTCGTCCCATATGCAGACATCGAGTGTTGCCACTTTTTCAATTTACAATATTTTCTTATTGTTTTTTTTTTTTGTTTTTCCAAACGTAATGAAATTTCTTATATACGCGTGTATGTGTATCTGTAGTTGGTCGTATGTTGTATGACTGCACTGCAGTTAGTGTGTGTGTGTGAGTTGCCATACACTTGAGAATATCCTTGCATCGTTACGTTGACAATAAACAATATGTCATTATGTCGCTGTTGATGTTGGTATTACTGATGCTGTTAGCCATTTTCATTTTTATTCCGAAATTTCAATAATTTCTTAGATAAACGATAAAAAAAAATTTGATTGCAATTTTTATTGTTTTTTTATATCCTTATTAAATTTGGCTTAAATTCATCTTCCAGAAAATTTAATTCTTCTGGTTTTATTATTTTTTTCCTAAACCTTTTTACTTTCATAATTCCAAATCCTTTCTACCGACACTATTTTAAGTTTTAACAAGTTATGCCGATATTTAGATTTGAAAATTGGTGCTGTGGAGTGAGTTGCAAATTTTGGTTTCCCAGTAAATCCCGCTAAATGCAGCATATCCCGGAAATTATTCGAAATTCATTCGTAATGCAGTGGGGAACAATTGCAGTTGTCTTCTCACTACAAAAGTACAGAAAAAATAAAAATGTTAAAAGTGAAAAGTTCAATGCAGACAAGGATAATGCCTTAATGCAATGCACTGTAAAAAAATACTTAAAAGTTAATACAAGCCAAAAAAAATCTTTAAAAAAAATTTAATTGGTATTCCAATTATTTCGATTAATAATATTCTATTATTATTATTATTATTGTGTTCTATAAAATGTACTCGGCTGCTTCAAACTGTGAAAAAAAAACAATA